TTCTTTTTTAAAAAATGTATTTAGTACAGGGTCCACAGGGTCTCACTACACAGATGGGACTGGTAGTGATCCTCTTGTTTTCGCCTCCCAAGCTCTGGGATTACAGGCACATTCACCACGCCCAGTCTCAATCATCCTCTCAGCACCCTGTGGGGGCAGGTTCTGCATAGCAAGCTGGGGATGAACCCTGTCCCTGTGCTCTGCCTACACAGGCGCTTTAATCCGCTAAGCTATCTGGCTGGTCCTGGTTTATCATTCTTAACTGTGATCATTTTTGTTGCCATTCCTGTCACCTAAGTTTTCAATTAACATTTGATTTAATGAAACTTTGAAGCCTAGGCTACAAGGGGTTGTATCTTGAATTCACCTATAAAATCGCTGACAGCTGTGTTGCTGGTGTACTACAAGCAAACCATGTGGACAATAAGCACTCATTTAAGGAAAACTGTATTTCAGAATGCTGAGGCTGGAGGATCACAACTTTGAGACTAGTCTGAACTACATGGTAAGAACCTTACCAAACAAACAACCCCTAAAAACCAAAATAAAACAGGAGAACTCTACTGCTAGACATGAGAGATTAGAACAAATGATTCTATAGGAAATCGAGTTGCAAGAATTTCAGGCCAGAATTCGGGGTTTCGTTAGGACGATTTTCCAGAACATGACTATATTTGAATAAATGTGTATTTTTGTACATGAAAATAAGACATTCCCTAAAAGTAAGCAGTATTTTGTCTTTTGGAGTAAAAATTAATATAAGACCCAGCCTTATTTTCGGATAGACCATGGTACATGTATTATCTAGCTTAACACGGCTGGTCCTAGCGACACAAGCCTGTAATCCCACCACTTGGGTGGCTGGGACAGGAAGGTCACTGCAACTTCAAGGCCAGCCTGGGCTATCTAGCAAGCCCCTGCCTCAAACCTCAAAAAAACCTGAGGTGGTATTATTTTGCGGTTTGATTTTCTTGTACCAGAAACTAAACTCGGGGCCTCGTGCTTGCTAGGCAGACACTGCACTTCTGAGCTACCTCCCCTACCCTAACGTATTGTTATCCCTGGTTTTGAAGAAACGGCGCTCAGGAGGGAGGTGCGATAACTACCCCAAGTCACAAACCCGTTTACATCCCAACCTGAGACTCTTGTTCAAACTCATCCCAGTTTTCTTTCTTTCTTCTTGCACTTGATATGGATTGAGGGGGAATAAACCCAGGTGTAGGCAAGTAAGGTATATCCACTGAAGATATTTTAGGATCATCTGCGTCAAGCCCTTTATTTTACAGAGAAGATATTTGGGCTCAGCGAGATGAAGGGATTTTTCTCCCTAGGTCACGGAAGCAACAGAATTCTGGAGCTCTGCAATGGAATTGCAATGGATACACGAAATTCCAGTCCAAGCCCCATTTTGCCGCGTAGGGTGGGTGGCATGAAGCCGAGAGGCGCTGGGAGCCGCCCCGGGTTTGCGGTCTCTCAGAGGCAGAGCCGAGTCCAACCCTAGGCGAGCTCCTCGCACTTTCCGACGCTTACTCTGAGTTCACCCGCGGCGCGAACAATTCCCGTTAGCTGCCGGTGCTCGACCTACACCCTCGGACGGTACCTGTCGTAGGCCTCGCCCACCCGCGCCGACCCAAGCCCCTCCACCTCAGAGCGCCGCGGCCCGAGGAATGCGCGGACACCCCCGAAGAACTCAGGAGGCAGGGTCGGTGTCCCCTCAAGTCCCCCGTTTTGTCCCTCTGTGGTCTGCAGACCTGGTCATAGCTCCTGTGCACCTCAAAAGGAGTAACACCGGATCTCTCGGCGGAGTCTAGGGGCCAGGACTCCAGGGGGAGGTTTCTATGGAAACGAGAGGAAACATTTTGCGCATGCGCGGATGCGCTAGCCACTCTGGGAAATGTGGTTTTTGGGTTGCCACCCGGAGGCCCAAAGAACGAACGCAAGATGGCGCCCGAGCGTCGCGGTGGGTTCCCACGAGCCTGGTTCTCCAAATCCCGGGTGCTGCTCTGCCTTGAAGGCCCGAAAGGTAGTTTTTCTGGGTGGCTCTGAGGCATCTGAGGTGGTGGGTGAAGGTTCAGAGGCTCAGTCTTTTTTAGCGCGTTTGATTTCTTCCTGTATAAAAACGGCCTAACGAGAGAGTTTCTTCTGGTTTGAGTCGGCCGCCTCGGTTCCTCCCCTACCGGGCGCCAGGCACCTGACAGAATGTTTGGAAAGTAGGAGCTGGCCCGGGAGGAACGGAGTTTCCAAGGGATGCAAGTTCCCCCTTGCAGTGTTCTAGTCGGGGCTGGGCCAGCTTTCCCGTTAAGAGGTCGTGTCGGGGGTGATTGAATGGGGACACGGTGCGCGGGGTGGGGTGGTGTTGGGTGGGGTGGGGTGATCCTGGCCTTGTCTGGGGGAGTTCTAAAAGACCCAGAGACCTCCTCAGGCAGCACTGTGAAATCAGAGCGTTCTAACTGCCCAAGAGCCATCTTCTGCACTCTAGAGTTAATCTCCAGCCTTGAGAATGTGGAAGTTAAGGGTTGGGCTCAGACTGTTAAAAGATTCAGTAGTGTACATCTCTGAGCCTCGATTTCTGTTTTTTTAAAAACAGTGGTTGAGTTTGAGACCAGCCTGGGCTACACAGAGAGGTCCAGGCCAGCCAGAATTACATATCAAGACTCTGTCTCAAAACAACAACAACAAAAAACAGTGATAGCACTCTAAGCCCAAGGAATAGAAACGAGCAAAGCTTACCTTCCCGAGCTGAAATTATGAACAAGTTACCTTTTTACAAAATTGCTCAAACTGGACTTGAATTTATGATCCTCCTGACTGGATGTGCAGGCTGAACCAAGGACACAGCCATTCCCATTCACTCTAAATTGGTGCAGCTTCCTGCAAGGAAATTATGCTTCACCAAATTAAAAAAGCACATAGCTAGAAATATGTCCTATAAATGCAATGACCATATGTGCATAAAAGGTATATACCACAGTACTTAATGAGACATTATTTGCACTGACTTTTTTTTTTTTTTTTTTTTGGTATTTAGGACAGGGTATATAGGGTGTACAGGGTCTCACTACGTGGATTGAACTCCTAGTTATCCTCTTGTTCATAGCCTCCCAAGTGCTGGGATTACAGGCATGCACCACCACACCCAGTCTCAATCTCCATCTCAGCGTGCCCCGGGGCAGGGCCAGCAGGGTAGGCCCAGGGATCGAACTCCCTGCCCATGCATCTACCTAAGCAGGTGCTTTAATCTGCTGAGCTACTTGGCCAGTCCTTTGCAGTGACATTTTTAAATGTAAACAAATGTCCTTCAGTAAATGACAATTAAAATAAGTGATGGAAAAAAAATTTTAAATAATAAAATGAGTGGTGGGTTCCATGTATTAGAATGTGTGGTTATTTATTATTTTTTTTTAATGTATTTGGTACAGGATCTACAGGGTCTCACTACACAGATCAGACTAGTAGTGATCCTCCTTTTTGCAGCCTCCCAACTTCTGGGATTATGGGTGCACGCCACCATGTCCAGTCTTAATCACCATCTCATCAAGCCCCTAGGGGCCAGGCTGGCATGGCACACAGGGGATCAAACCCCTGTGTGGTTATTTTTTAAATGAGATAAATATTTTTTAAAAGAATACACACACTACTATACTTGATTATATAGGCATGAATGGCTTTTTGTTGTTTCATGAAGAGGTTTTGGAGAACCTCAGAATCTAGTAACAGCAGTTGTAGCCTATGAAGATGGGAATGAGGGGCCAGAAGCCAGGGTGGGAGGAGGATTTTCTTTTTATATCCTTAACTTGTGCTTCCTCGGTCAATTTGTCTGAGATTTGTATTATGTATGGATCTTAATTATTTGTATTTTTATGCAAATACCTTCCCCTCCATTGTTTGTTTTCCCTACTGCTGAATTCTTGGAGTCCCCAGTCTAAGACTCTAGTCAAGGAGGGGCGACAGCTCTGGGCTCATGACTGGGCCCTTGTGTTCCAGGCTGCCAAAGCCGCAGGGGGCACAGCCTGGCCTTGGCTTCCATCCTGGCACTGTGACCCCGATCCTCCTGCACCCCCAGGCTATAATTACAGAAATGCTGGTGGGACTTGCAGTTGGCTGCTCAGGAGGGTGGATCAGGCATGGGAATGAGCTCCCCTATACCCTACTTGTGATCCCATGGAAGCCTCCCAGAAGGTGCAAATGAGTCCTCTTCTGGACAGCACATATAGCCTGAATTCTAGCAATAGATAAATGATGTGTCATGTTTAAAAAAAAAGAAAAATTTTCCACATCTAATCCCTTTGTTTACCAAAAGACTCACAGTGAAGTAACTTGCAAGTGGTGAAGCCAGGGCTGGCACCCAAGTCTCGGCACTTTGGGGTTACAGCAATGCTGGGAGTCCCCAGGGTAAACTGGGCAGGTTGCTTCAGTCAGTGAGCCAGTTCCTACCTCTGAGGCCTGCTTTCAGGGAGTCAAGTAGCACCACCTTCCCCCGATGCCACTACTATGACAAAAATGGAAGCACTGATTCTTCTTGAACACTAGAAAGCCTGAGGTGGAAAGGGAAAGTTGTGAGGGTCCTTTCATTGTAGCAAAAGGAAGGTGGTGCTTGGTACCCAAAGTACCCTTGAGAACTAGCATCATGTGTCCAAAGGGAGCTTTAGCTCTTGGAACAGGCTTGGTCTTGTCCTGACAGGTGGAGGCAGCAGCTGCTATTTCCTCATGGGTCACTCCCTTCAGCTGTGCCAACACAGCCCAGTGCTTCCTGCCCCAGGTAAACCTGTTACCATTAGCCAATGCTTACCCCAGCCCTGCCCTAGAGATGAGGAAGATAGCTAGCTGGTCCTCTCCTTTCCTGCTCATTCTTCCTCCTACCTCCCCAAACACTGCCATCCCTAAACAGGTCCTTTATGGATACCTGGGAGACAGACAATTGGAAGGAGCAGGAGAGGCCAAGCACCTCCTGGAAACAGAGAAGGATCTGATTGAAAGACAGATGGCTTGATGATCAAATGGAAAATCACTATGAAAATGTTTTTTATTTCTCAGTATAAAGCCAGATACTATAAGGACATGAAAAACTGCCTTGCCTGAGGCCATGAAAGACAAGAAGACTTTGGTCTGGTGCCCTGTGACCCAGCGTGGGCTATGGGAGGGCTGGGGGCAGCACAGAGGCTCAGGAAGTCATGAAGTGTGTGAAGGAGGTGGCCTGCCAGAGCTCTCAGAGCCTCCAGGGTTGGGAACTGAGGGTCCTGTTTGCCTTTGGGGGCCACAATCCTTGGCCTGGCTGTCTCCAAGAGTGAAATGGGAGAAAGTGGGAGTGGGGGATGGGCTGGAGTGGAAGAGGGGCATGAGCCAGAAAGACTACCCTGAGAAACTCCATTTTTGATTCTGTGGCTGTGAGTAAATGTTTTAGGGTGTTAAGAGTAAAACTAGGGTGATCTCACCCCCAAAGGCACCTTCAGTAGCTCTACCCACATCCCCAGTATAGAGAAAGTTTTGAGCCCTTTATAGAATGTGGTCTGAGACACAAGATGATAGGAAGTGAGGCTGTGGTGACGGGGTCTGGGGACTGCTAGGGAGGAGCTGAGGGGAGTATGTGTTGGCTTGAAGGTATGAGGGGCGCTTGTTCCAGGAGCCGTGGATCACTCACTTTAGTGTCTAGGGGGCCATGGGTATATGTAAGGGCTCAGGCCCCACCCTCCTCTCCACTGTCATCCACACTGGCCTGCCTCACCATCTTCCGGAGCCTGGCTGTGGAGGACATGCCAGCCTCTTCTTGTCCCTGCTCCTGGAATGCCTGAGTCCGGCTGGCCACCAGGGCAGCGGTCTGGAGGGCAACCACAGACTGGCGGGACTTCAAAGCAGGCCAAGGCCCCTTGTGGATCCCGGTGCTTCCCTTGGGCCTTGGGAGCTGAGGGAAGGGCTGTGAAGGCTCTTCATCCGAAGATTCATGGGAAGAGAAAACCTGGATGGGTAAGGAGATCAGGAAGAAAACCATGGGGAATTTAGGGCCAGGAAAAGGGTGGGACAGAGTAGTTGTTGAATGAATACAGAAAGACTGAACTGTTTTCAGACCACATTTCTTGAGGAGGAAAGAGAGCACCTGGCTCCACTGCCCCTGCTTCTTAACTTCATCAGCCTCCAGCTTCCTTCTGACCCTTGCAAGGCCTCCTTAGGTCTTCTCCACCTGCCACCAGCCTTCATGAGCCCTCTTCTCATTGTACCCTCTTTACAGTTAGTCCAGTGAACACCAATGAAACTCAAGGCGCTAAGCCTTGAACTGGGCCATGTGGACATGGATGTCTGGGTGCCCAGTGAGGACATGTGGCTACAGTCACACCCACTCCAGGGGGCATCAGCATTCCTTGCCTATCAGCCCACACTCAGCACCTCCTCCAGGAAGCCTTTCCCAAATGTTCCCTACTCAACAGACTCTGTTTCCTCTCAGGCAAGCCATTTGGCCTCCAGTCACATGTGGGGCCTGACTTCCTGTCTTGGCCTGTGCCCTGCAGCTTCAGCCCACAGAGTGCTCACTCAACAGTTCTTGGCAGTGTGAGTGCTAAGACTCACACACATCCTTTGCTGTGTGGCTTCTCAGACTCGGGAGGGCTTCAGTGATCATCTTACCTACCCATCTAGGGTAGATGTCTCCATGGCAGTGCGCCCAGACCCATAGAGAGCAAGTCTTTTGTTAAGCTAAAAGCTGCCTGTGACCCAGGCTGGAGCTAGCTTGCCTCTGCTTCCTGACTGCAGTTCCTCAGATACTGGGTTCAGTGCCCTTGCCTGCCCTCACTGGTCTCCTTGGCCACTTTGAGGGGTGAAAAGGAGATACTGAGGATGTGATTCCTGTCCTCAGGGTACTCATAGGGCAAACTGGGGTTGCTTGATGCCAAGAGCTAGGAGGCAAGGAGCAAGGCCCCAGAGGTCCTGAGCTCCAGGAGACCCTGAAGGGGGCCACTTTGGACCCAGGTAGCCTCTGCTTGAAGCCAAACATCAAGCACCAAGCTCATGGTCTCCATCCACCCTCCTTCCTGTGGCCGTGTCACCATACATGGAACTCCCCCAGCCCAGCCTCACCTCTGGCAGACTACCGACTTCTGAAGTGCTCTCCAGCTCTGAGGTGGGCTCCAGGAGACTAATAGATCGCATGATTCCACGGAGGTTGATTCGAGGCCGCAGCCCAGGCTCTTCTTTTGGGGCTGCCTGGTTCTCTTCCAAGCCCTTAACTTTCACCACCCCACTGCCCCCCGGTTCTGGTGGGAGTGGTGGGAATGGTATAGAGACTTCAGGGGCCAAGAGCTCTTCTGGAGAGCTCCCACCCACTTTCTGCTCCCAGACATGGCTCTGGCGGCTGTGAGGAGGTGGCCCTGAGTCAGCTTTAAGGTTAAGGGATGCAACAACTACCAGAATCATATACATGAACACCCCACCCCACCCCCATCACTCCCATCATACCTGGCAGTCAGGATGCCCTGGTAGGTCTGCAGCTGGCGCAGGAAGCCAGGGTTGGGACGGACAATGGGCCGGAGCTCCTGTACGTGCAGCAGAGCCTGCTCCAGGCTCCAGCCATACTGCTTCATAGCATAGGCCAGCACTGTGGCGGCTGAGCGGCTGACACCCATCTTGCAGTGAACTAGCACCCGGGTACCCTGGGTTCTGTGGAGGCAGGACATAGCCCCTGAGAAGCCAGTAGCATGAGGGAGGTTGGAGAGGGGAAGGAAGTGAGGATACTGAAGGCTGGAGGAAGAACTGGGGGCTCAGTGCAGATTGCACAGGATGAAGGCACAGGAGCCCACATGAAGTTGGGACCTCAGCTCTGAGACCTGGGCTCAACAGCAGGAGCCTCACCTCGCAGCTTCAATGAAGCGGTGAGTCTCCTTCCAGTGGGGCAGCAGCTGCGCTGACTCCTCATCCCAGAGGCGCACATTGTAGTAGATGAAACGGTCAGGGAAGAAGTTGTCAATCTCTCGGGCCATGTTCAAGATGTGGCTGACCCTATACCAGAGGGTCCAAGGCCAGAGTGATTTAGGCAGGGACACCAGTACATTGGGCACCAGACCGACAGACTGTGGGTCTAGTTTTTGGTTCTGAGTCAGGTTGCAGCAGCATTTACAGTGTGAAGGAAAACTGAACCAGCTGTCAGATATCTGTGACCTTGTACACATCATTTTGCCTCATTGAGCTTGAGTTTCCCCACCTTGTCCAGGTAGCTGAGGTCAACTGCAACACTAATGCATCCATTATTCTGGCAACTTAGTTGAAGAACAGCTTTTAAGCTAAGCTGAGCTTGGGTGGCTCTGCAGCAGCAGGTGACAGGGGCTACAGCAGGTCTCCCAGAAACCCATGGACAGATGACAGGTAGCCCAGAAAGCAGGCAGCCAGGTCCCCCTGGGAGAAAAACACCCTTCTTCTCTAAGACATGGCCAGGTGGTCATAGCAGCATGTGCTTCTGCCCCTCATCTGGGCGTGGTCAAGTCCCTGGCTTCTATACTTGTTTACAGTGTCAGGGGAAAGAGAGGCCCAGTGACTGGCCAGTGGTAGCAAGCTTCTGTCCTGAGAGGCCTGAGAGCCCATGTAAGTGCTAAAGTCCCAAGGGTGGTGCTGAGAGTGGTCTGGGGTCCTGAAGCTGGCAGGCAACCCCCTGGGATAAGGGAAGGGGAGGGGAGAGAGGCCTGGAACCCCACCTGTTTCTCTGCAGTTCCTCCAGGTTTGCTGCATTCCACTCAGAGCCCTATAGGGTTGGGGGAGAGAAGTGCCAGGCTCCTTTGCCTCCTGGTGCCTCTCATCAGCAGCCACAGGGTTTGGGATGCTACCCTAACAGCCATGCTCACCAGGTAGAGGTGGGGGAAGATGCGGGAGGCCCGGTCTTGTTGGGCCATGAGCAGTAGCATCTGGTTGTCAATGAAGTCACGGTACTGCTGGAGAGGGCATCCCAGGCGCAGCTCCAGGGCCTGGCGGATCTGCAGGTGGGGTCCAGGGAAGAAGTTCCTAGTCCCTCTCCCTCTAGGGCCTCTGACAACAATACCTTGTCCCACCTAGACAGAGCTGAGGCCAGTTCTGCGTAGAGGCCAGGGCTATCAGGGCATAGCTCAGGACAGGAGGAAAGCAAGGTAGGAAGAGCTCCAGGGAGAGGGTAAGCCAATTGCCCTGGCTGAAGGTCCCAGGTCCTGGACCTCTGCCCATGCTGCCTACCTCTTTGGAAGTGATGCTCTCCAGGTCACTGGCATCCAGCACCTCCCACAGCTCAGCCCGAATCGCCTGCTCCATCTGTTCCTGCTCTGAGGGCCTGGGAACAGAACCCCTGAGTCAAGTGCCCCTTCCTGCACCACTGGGAGACACCCCTACCTCTGCCTCCCCTGACCAAAGTCCATACACGCACACTGACTGGCCAGGATCTGCACTGGGGGGTCGCAGGGACTCCAGGTCAGCCATGGCCATCCACTCATTGAGGCAGTTCTGGTCTGAGTTCAGTCTCTCCTGGTAGTGGGCAGCCCAGGCAAGGGCACTGCCACTGGGCACAAGGCCACTGCCTAGAGCTGCCTCACATGCCTGATGCAGCACCTGGAGAGTGGCCCTAGAACAGGAAGAGAGACTGGTTACACTGTCCTCTTTGTTCCCATCACTCAGGCACTACAGCAGCATCTCAAGAAAGAGGGTAAGCCCTGAGGCACTTACCACATTGTCTGGATGGAGATAGGCTTGAAGATTCGGCTCTGCCCTCCAGATGTCACACTGAAGCCCCTATAGGAGATGGGTGCCATAGAAACATTAGGCTCTCAGACAGACAGAGAATCTGCCTTTTTGTCAGATGTGGGGAGGCTGAGGTCCCAGGAAGGTAGATGACTTGTCCAGGATCACACAGCAAATCTGAGAGCTGAGTAGGCCCTGTTTGCCAGCTCCAGTTTTGCTGTTTCCAGTACCCAGCCCCTCCTTCCCATTGCCACATCTTACCCATCTCCATCTAAATACACTTGGGTGTCACTCCAGAGGGGCAAGACCAGGCCTAGGGTGCAGCTGGAAGAGCTGGGAGAGGATAGAGTGAGAGCTATTGTCTCCCGTACCTCACTTCACCTCCGTACACTCCCCTCCCTGCTGCTCCTACCTGCTGTCAGGAAAATCTACACCCAGGAGGACTGTCTCCTCCTGATTGACACATTCACGAGTGGAAACCACCAGTAGGTAACGGAGCCTTGGGGGTCGGGCTGCCTCGAGCTGGGCTGCCTGGGAAGACAGGAGGAGGAGCCCAGAGTAACAGTGAGAAACTTGCTTTTTCTCCACCCAACCTGGACATACCTCAGGGTGGAACAGCCCCACACCCACCATCCCACCCCAATGCCTACATAGATCACTGGCTACAATCCAGTGGTTCCCAACATTTGGACTTCATGATGCAATTATTATTACTTTGTACTAGGGAATTGAACACAGGCCTCACCCTGAGCTATATCCCTAGTCCTTTTTAAATTTTTATTTTGAGACAGTGGCCTATTAAATTGCTGAGGTTGGGCTTGAACTTTTGACCCTCCTGCTTTAACTTTCCAGAGTACAAAGATTAAAGACTCTTAAAGGGAGAGTGTATGGAAATAGGGAGAATGGGACTGACAGAGTGGCCCAATTTTTGTTTTTTCCTAAGAAAGTTTTTTTTATGGACAGTCTTGCTATGCAGTTCAGGCTGGCCTTGAGTTCACTTTGTAGCCCAGAATGGTCTTGAACTTGTAACAATCCTCTTGCTTCAGCTCCCGAGTGCTGGAATTATAAAGCCACCATGCCTAGTTTAAGAAAGGTTCTTTTTTTGGTGGGGGGGGGAGGGGACCTGAACATGCCTTAAGGGCATTTCTTGTTTGGCAGGAGTATATGGGTTCGAACCAGTGCAACTTGAGCCTCACTGCTTTCTTAAGCAGGCACTTAAACATCTGAGCTAATGGGCGGGCCCCCAAGAAAGGTTCTTAAAGATCCTTTCACTTGCTGTTATCATCATTGCATTCAAGAAATGCTTATCATGCCTGGGGTAGGATGCTTCTGTAGCATATATGAGTCCCTAGGATCCACACCCAGCACTTTTAAATAAATAAAAAGTTATCAAAGAAATACTAGGGACCTAATTTCATAGCATAGTTCAGTGCTTCTGTTCAAAGAGTGAAATCTGGGAAAGAGTGCATCTTTGTCACATTGTGCTGCCGACAGCAGGTGTCTCCACAGGCTTTTGGGAGCTGGCCCTCAGGCGCCCCCAAAGGCCACCTCTCTGTAGGTGTTTCCCTCCCTCTGCCTGGCCCTCCTGCATACCAGCCCCTGGAGGGTGCCTTCTGAACACCCTGCCTTATCTTCCCTGGCTAAACAGAGCCTTTCTGTGACTCCTACACCATGAACCCAACTTGGCCTTACTTGGCTGTGCAGGACAAACCTCCCCTGTCCTTTCACAGCTCCCCAGAGCCTTCAGACATGACTTACCTGTGTTAAGATGTCATTACCTGAAATAGCAGGGTCATGGGTTTGGGTAGCCTCTACTGCACAGGGTGCCCTCTGCCCTCGCACCATTGCTCCCCAGATACACAGCTCTCACCCCCTCTTCTGATGGGCTCTGGGTGACCCCTCACCAGGTGGATGTCATCTTGTGGCCTCAGCAGTTCCACCATGAGATGCAGGTGCTGCCTCTGCTCCTGTTTCTTGGGACACTGGGGCCCTTGCCCATCAGGCTGGTCCCCCTGGGGCTGCTCCTCACCAAAGGGCTCCTCCATTGGCTCAGAGGTGGCCTCAGGTGCGTCACCACTGTCCCCTCCATCATCCTGCAGTCCCAGGACAGCTCCTCGGAGCACTGCAAAGCTCTGCCTGGCAGGGGCCAGGGGAAATTGTTAGAGCCTGAGGTCCTCAAACTTTAGGGAGTCTGAATTCTAGGGGGGCTTGTTCAAGTGCTTCATTGGCCGTTTCCCTAGAGAGCTCACAGGCAGGAATAGGGGTGGATAACCAGGGGACTGGTGATGGCTACCACACCTGGAGAACCAGCCTTAGGCTCCTAAACCCCTCTTCCTCTGGTTGGCCTAGATAGACCTCCCGCCAGCCCACCTGAAGGTACTGTAAAGATGGTTGGGGATTCAAGAGTTCTTAGGCTCTGCTCTCCCATCCTACTCTTTGGCTTGTGGCTACTGGCCTTAGCCAGTGTCCTGGGTAGTGTGTAAAGGGATACCAGCTGACCAGGGGAAAGTGGAAGCCAGGGCAGCCCTGTGGGGTTCTGCCACATGCCAGCAGGGCCCACCAGCCCAGCCCACTGGAACCAGGTCCCACCTATGGTCTGCAGAGTTTTGGCCCTTCAGGAAGCCCTGTTCCCAACACCTGGATGACAGTGGCCAGTCCTGGGGGCTGGATGGAGGCGTTTATGTCCAGAGAAAGGTGCTAACCTGCGCTGGAGCTGGCTTCTGCGCCTGGCTGCCGGGTCCTGCAGAGGAAGCAGCCCCCAGGGGTGAGTGAGTGCCAGGAGATCTTTCCTCCCATTGCCTTCTCAGGAGGCTCCAAGTGGGGGGCAGCTGGGGGGGAATGCCCAGCCCTTTTGAAGAGGAGGTGTCAGATGCCAATTCCTTTCTCCCTCTAACCCCCTCCCTACCAGGAGGCACTGGGTGCCCCAGCCCCAGCCCTGGTGTGGTGGGACCAGTGGGCCGGGGATGCCGTGGGCGTGGGAGAAATGAGTGGATCTGGGCCTCCGTAGACGGGGTTAGTGCTCAAGACTCTAGATCTCGCCTTGGTCGAGTTCCTAGGAGCCCCAAGACGCCCCCAACACCCTCCAGTCTGAGCCTCGAGGTCCCCCTCTGCCCACCCCCAGCGTGAGCACAGGCTGCCATTGGCAGACGCTCTCCCTCTGGCCTAGCTGGCAACTAACTGCGTGGATGGGACCAATCCAGACTCACCGCGGGCCCTATAGGCGTGGAGTGGCCGCTGGCCGGGGGCGAGCGGCTCACTGTGACCAGGGCCATGGAGTCAGGCCAATGGCGCCTGGGCGGGCACTGGGCACGGCCCCCTCCCACAGCCCCAGGACAGTCCCTGCCCCGCAAGACCAGGAAGGAGAGAGCAGCCGCCAGGGCCTGGCACCTCCTCGGGGCGGCCCTTAAAGGGACAGTCTCCTGGCCAGCTCCGGCTGCGGAGGCCGCGCGCCGAGGCGGCCCCACCCCTCATGGCTCGCCCCGCCCTGCCCCATCCACGTTAGGGGCGGGACGGAGCGCAGGTGCGGATTTCCAACCTGGTACTCCTCCTCCGTTTCCCTCTCCTCCCAGGAAGTGCCCAAGCCCTCTGTCCCGCCCAGTTAGATCACCTGAGCTGGAGCTGTTTTGGGTCCCTATTACAAGCCTGGGATGGGGCAGGTCTTAGGATCAGGCAAAGTGGGTCTTAAATCGGGAACCCTCATCCCAAACGTTTATTTTTGCTGGCTGGCTTTCAAGTCTCCAATTCTGGCACAGCAAACTTCAGAGCAAATAGGGTAGTGCATAGAAACAACCCAGGAAGGTAGGCATGGTGGTGCAGGATTCTAATCTTATTTTTTTATTTTGGCGAAACCGGGGATTGAACTCAAGGCCTTGTGCTTGCCTGGCAAGCGCTTATTCTACTGAGCCATCCTCCTAGCCCCTAGGCTTCTAATCTTAGACCCAGTCCCACCTCGGTGATTTAGAGACCCAGTCTCAAACTTAAAAAACAAAATAAAACAAAAAACAAAAACAGATGGGGTTGGGGGTGCTCAGTGTGAAGGTCCTGGGTTCAACCCCCAATACCAAAGGCTGGGGGCAGGAGGATAGCCCAAGAACCTCACAGAGGAGTCTGTCTATCTCAGAGGTCAGCAGAGGACGGCTGAGCCATTTCCCAACTGCTGCAGAGGAACTTGCCCACGGTCGTGTTAGAACAACTGGAGTAGAGCAGGAAGCTAGTTGAGTTTGGGCTGCAGGGATGGAGGGGCTCTTCCCAGAGGGCTGTGAGTAGGGCCTGCATGTCCCGGCATATCCTCTCAACAGGAGTGTGGGCCAGGTTCCTAGAAGGCCAGGCCAGGTGGCAGGAGGGATGTGGGTCTCCAGTAGCTGGGCAGGGCTCAGGGGAGAGCACCTGATGTTGGTTCCTTTCAGCTTCCCAACAACCAGTCCCAGGTGTGAGGATTGTCTCATTTTACAGTCCAGGAAATAGAGGTTCAGAAAAACTAAAGGGGTTTCGGTTGGGATTCAAAACTAGCTGAGGTCACTGCCTGTGGTGCCTCCCTCAATGCCCCCCACCCAGCACCCCCCAGCTCCAGCCCACTTGAGTAGAGCAAGCCTGCTGCTAGCAGTCTCTTTATTCCATTTCAGTGCCTCTGCCAGGCATCCCTGGGCTCCAGGCCCAAGCCCAGCAGCAGACAGTTTATAAATAAATAAATTACAAAAGCAGGCTGTAGGAGTGGCCATGACCCTCCCAGTCCAGGTAGCTCAGTGCTCTGTGAGTGATAGCTCCAGGATCCGCTGTAGGTCCTCCTCTTCCTGCTGCCCCCGCCGCTCCTGCTCCTCTTGCTCCCGAGAAGACAACTCAAGAGCCAGGCGAAGCTGCTCCTCAAAGCTCGGGGGAGCCAGGGCCAGGGGTGTCCTCTCAGGAGACCCAGGCTCCCTGGACTCTGTGGACAGCTGCAGGCTTTCCTGGAGCGCCCTGCAGGCAGGAGTGACAGGATAGAGTAGACTGAAGTGTGAGGGCTGTAGGAGGAAAAAGGGGTTGGGCACACAGCTTTGGTGGACAAGGACAGGATGAAAACATCAAGCAGGACTTATCTCCCTGCCCCTCATGCCGCTGTTAGTGGAGGGCAGCACCAATGGTGGAGGGTAGCTTTGGAGAGGGTATGGGGGTCCCAGGACCAGCACCTCTGGGCTGCCCACCAGCCAGGGGACACCTGGGGGTTCAGACCCAGTGGGGCTGAGGCAGACAGCTAGTGGATCCTTAGGGCCTCACCGCTCTAGTTGAAGCTGCTCCTCGTACACAGTGGCTTGGGCAGGAGGGTGGGCGCCAGGCCGAGAGTTGGTCAGGGCTTCCCAGATGGTTACCTGCAGCAGCCAGAGCTTGAAGCTGTCACATCAGCCCTGTGGCTGCAGAGGCCAGGGCCCACCCCTGTCCCTGACCCACCTGCTCTGCTTCTGTGCCCGCCTCAAGCAAGCTTTGCTGGATGGCAAATTGCAGCAGGTCATCATCCTCATCTCGAAGGGGCTCACTGCGCTCAGCACCCAGCACACTGTACCCCTCAGGGACCTCAAACACAGTAGGATCCACCTCGCATGGGAAAGGGCTCCCTGGGGAAGCAGCAGAGGGAGCACACTCAGCCCCCAGGGCTCAGCCCCCAGACAATCACACAGCCTCCTTCTGCCCCCCATAGGGGTACCTGAAGTGGTGAGGGCAGAGCTGGGGGCTGGCACCCACACGGAGCTCAAGGGCTCATCACAGCCGCACAAGTTGCTGAAGGTGATTCTGGCATTGAGCACATGGAAAAGGGGAATCTCTGTGGAGACAGTCAGGCCTGAACCACTTGGCCCTTGCAGGCCTCCTTCCCTACAGCATCTCATCCCACTGGCCCAGGCTACCCCCTCACCAATCTTGACAGGGAAACCAGGGGGGAGACGCAGGGTGATGAAGTCACGTAGCTTGGCAAAGTGAGCATTGCTGATGGCCATCAGGTCAATGATGGGCGTCACTTGGTCACTCAGAGAGAGTGGGTGCTCCTCACTCAACCACAGTGTTGCCTTGAACCTGCCCAGCCAATCACAAGAGGTAGGTTAGGGATTCTGTGGTGGCCTTCTCCCTGAGGCCCCCCCACCTCTAGTCACCTGCCTGGGGTACCCTCCTCCCTGCTCAGCTGCCTTTGTCTGCAGTAACTTGTGTCCTGGCCCTATGGCTGGAGTTGCTCCAGAAGCAGCTGGGCCCACACTGGTACTCATGATGGTTTTGTGTCTGTTTATCTGGTCTAAGTGAGGACACCAGACGCCAGGCTGTGAACCATTTTCTGGGCTTCATCCACAGCCTTGTCCTCCTCCTCTGCATAGAGCTGGCCACCAGTGCATACTTTGCTGTACAGCATAGCCCTGCAGTCAGGACTGCTGAGGCCTCAATCCCAGCCTAGTTGAGAGGATCCACATGAGGTAGACTGGGGAATGTTTGGCCTGGTGTAAAACTGCTGGTCATAGGTCCCTGAGAGGAGAGTGGGCAAGTGTGACTTTATTTCATTGAGGAGGAAATCAGATTCCAACAAGGGAAAATATTTTCTCTAGTCACAGAGGCCTGAGCAGCAGAGCTCTAAGCTCTTCCCATTCTGGCATGCCTGGCCTCCAGCACATGATTACTAAATTAGAAAACCAAACAGGTGGTGGTGCCACCCATTCATTCATTCAGTGGCTCCTCAGAGAATTGAGACTGACTCTGGGTCACAGTGCTTGCTGGGTGCTCAGGACCATGAATAAGACGGATGGCTCCTGTCCATCCAGAGATGAAGATTCCAGAGAGAGGGCTGGTGAGATGGCTCAGTGGTCTAAAGCACCTACTTAGAACAAGCTTAGCAAAGCACAGGGACCGGGTTCAATCCCCCAGCACCACATGCCAGCCAGCCCCGCCCCCTGGTGGGCTGAGCTGGCCACGCGTGCGCACACACACAAATAAATAAATATTAAA